GGGCCGTGGAGTGTATTGTCGGCAACCACTACGTCGACGATATGCTTGACAGCGTCGACACTGAGGAGGAGGCCATCCAGCTGGCCAGGGACGTAAGTCTCGTTCATGAACAAGGTGGATTCCATATCAGGAACTGGCATTCAAACTCGGAGAGGGTATTTCGAGCGTTGAAGATCAACAATATGGACCGTGAAGTAAGTTTAAACTCTGACCCAGAGATACCAGCCGAGAAGGTTCTAGGCCTATGGTGGGCCACTCAGGAAGACTGCTTCACATTCCGCGTGGCCCAAAATCACAAAAACAAGAACCTGCTTCTTAATGACCGCTGTCCAAGAAAGAGGGAGGTACTAAGTATAGTCATGAGCATCTTCGATCCGTTAGGGTTTCTCAACTTCCGCGTCATTTATGCAAAAACAATGTTGCAGGAAGTTTGGCGATCTGGGTGCGGTTGGGATGAATGCATTCCCATAGAACGGTATTTAAGTTGGCAGAAATGGGTGAGATTTCTTCCCAAATAGAGACCTTAAAAATACCGAGGAGCTATTTTAAAAATGCGGAGTGTGGGTCCGAGCTGGAGATGCACGTCTTCGTGGATGCCAGGGAAAACGCTTATTCGGCTGTATGCTATCTTCGCCACAACAACAAGGGAATCGTCGACTGTGCGCTAGTGGGTAGCAAAGCAAAGGTGGCACCGTTGAAAGTGTTATCAATCCCTTGACTTGAGTTGCAGGCTGCGGTTTTAGGCGCTAGATTAGCTGCAGGTGTACTTGCCTCACACACATTGCACATCCAACGTCAATCCTTTTGGACCGACTCTCGCACCGTTTTAGCTCGGATCCGACGTTACTCTCAGTTCGTTGCGTTCCGAGTAAGCGAATTGTTAGAGCTTACGGAGGTGAAGGATTGACGATAGCTTCCTTCACTAGAAAATGTGGCAGACAACGCTACCAAATGGTCCACATCACCGGAGATATCTAGCGAAAGTCGATGGTTTAGAGGACCGCACTTTCGACGGGAGCGAATACACTGGCCAAACGACAAAGACAGCACTGAAACAACCTACGAAGAGCTTAGATCTCGATATGCAGGCTGCAGTAAGCCGAACGAGCTCTATATATAAGCTTTCACCGTACTTGGATCAGGTCTCCGTCCTACCACTCAGTGGCCGGGTCAGCCTGGTAGGGCATCCGGATCCAGATATATTGCCTAGAAACCATAACATAACTCGCCTGATTGTTCTGGACCACCGTTCGAGGTTTATGGCCCGACGAGGGGTACCCTGCGAGTTCTGGAGCGACAACGCCACTAATTTTAAAGCAACGCAGCGAGAACTCACCACTGCCTTCAGAGAAATAGACAAGGAAAAGCTTCAGAGCACCTTTACGAATTTCTCTATGCAGTGGAAATTCATACCACCGGCCTCACCGCATATGGGCGGTGCCTGGGATCGCCGTGTGCGCTCAGTGAAGGACATCCTCTCGAGGGTATTTCTAGCATGACGTCCCTCCGACGAATTGCTCCGCGGCTCTTTAATGGAGGTTGAATCGATCATAAACTCAGGACCGTTGCTTACATACCGCTCGACCACTGCGGAGACGAAGCGCTCACACCAAACCATTTTCTCCTGGGTAGTTCCAACGGGATGAAACCGCTACTCGAGCATTCTGGAAGGCCAGAACCAATGAGAAGAGCTGGTGATATGCACAACAATTGGCCGACTCATTCTAGAAGCGTTGGGTGCGCGAATGTCTACCGGTGATAACGCGCCGCACTAAGTGGTTCGAGGCCGTAAAACCGATTGAACAAGGAGACATAGTGATTTCAGTCAGGGTAGGCCCTGATCAACAAGTAAGAAGCGCCGTGGTAAAGACTAGCGCCGGCATATATGAGAGACCAGCAACGCGACTTCCCGTTCTTTCTGTTGCTCCACAGGATCGGGTAAATCCGGAGAATATACCGGGGAGGAGTGTTGACAAAAGTACGGCAACACCGCAGTTGCTTGATTAAAATTTATTTGGGGAGGTTTCCCGTTTTTGACATTTGGTTTGATTTTTACCGCCAAGTGAGACTAGACTTTTTCAACTTGTTTAAAATTATATAAATCGAATTCTTCAAAGTAAATCAGAATAGATCCTTCTAAATACTAAAGTAAGTACATATTGAACATATGTAATTAAAGCTAAACCCAAGGAATAAAATGAATCCGCAGATATTTCACACGTTACACAACAATACATGCGTTTTGAGACTTTGGACGTGGGATCTAACCTCTGAATTTTAACTGTAAGATTACATTTTTACGAAAAAAAAAACCTGAATTTTGTTCAATTTTGTGTATTTATTAAGTAAAATTCTAAAATTCCGAATATATTTAAGTCTTAATTCCAAAAAAAACAAGCTTTGCATAAATATATAGAGATTCCAATACCTGCCAGCGCATCCGCCCAGACAGCTTATTAAGCACACCCAAGTTTGAGCGACCATTACCCGGAGCTCCTCAAAAATACTTAATATCGACTTGATCAAAGTATAGAATGTCACAACTATAAATCATACACACATACAATAGTAATTTCTTTGAATCGCTACCGTATAAAGCCAGGACATGCGTTTGCTTGGAGACTCCGTTGGTTATGGTGGTCATAACTTCAGCCAGCACATTCAATGGTCCATTACCCAGAGCTCCTCCAACATGATGAGTAGATTTAGGCCGGTATTATCACTTGCGAAGCGAAAGAAAATATCGGCGAACTTCGCATTCTCGAATTTTGAGATGCGAATCACTGGCGAATTCGCCGCAAAATGGCGAACGAGTGGCGAAAATGAATTTCGTGTATTACCACTAGCGAAAAAACGACATTCGCTTCGCCATAGCTGTCAATATTTGGCGACTGTTTTCTCGATTCGCACTTCAAAATGGAAAAGACGTTAGTAATTGGTTTTATATGTACATAATTTCATTAAATACAATACATTTTTTAGAATAAAACGAACAACAACGCAACAGTTTGAAAAGCTAGTGGAACTCATGCAAAATAATCCAGACGTTGCCAAGGGGATGGGAAATTTCGGCTCCTCAAAGAAGAGTAGGGCAGAATTGTGGGAAAAGTTTGCGGCCGAACTTAACGCCATCGGACCTCCAATGCGGAACGGACGTGAGTGGAACAAGGTAAGAATTGGGTTGAATTGTTTCCTAAGACAACTTAATAAATCCACTTTCTTTTGTGTACTATTAAGGTTTGGCTAGACTACAAACAGAAGTTGAAGAAACAAATTTCAACGAACCGACGGGAAACTGTTGCCACAGGAGGAGGTCCGTACGTCCAGCAAAGCCTCACACCTTTGGAGCAAACTGTGGATGAGCTGCTTCACCTACAGGAAGCAGTCAACCCCTCGGGCTCTACATTTGGAGCTAATATCCAAGAAACGGGGGGCAATGACAGGAATGATTCTTCCCAGCCAGAAGCGCAGGACGAAGAAATGGATCTATCGGCTACGTCAACTCAGGCGAGAAGAAGAATGACAGTGGAGGACCGCGAAAACATTCGTTTGAGTGCGTTGGAGAGGCAGTCCGAGGTGCAAGAAGTTCTTTGCTCAAGGGTATCAGGCATAGAAAAAAGACTAGAAGAAATTTCGAGATATGCTAGGAAAACATACGAAATAAAAAAAGAAAAACTAAACTTATTGAAGATGAAGGAACAGAGAAAGAAAGAAGAAAATTTAGAAAAAAATAGACAACATAAAGAAAAGATGGAAATGAAGTTAAAGGAGTTAGAATTAAAAACCTTAAAATACAGTAAGTGAATTCATCAAAGTTTAATCAAAAATGCAAACTTTTTAATAAGAATTTCTAGAAAAAGTTTAGTGTGCCGATTTATAGCCTATTAAATTTTAGTGCAACGAAGTGCAAATTAAAAGTTCCTAAAAAATCCCGTCAAATTTTTATAATTTTTTTCCCCGACGGTGCTGCGCATTTTCTTCCACACAAAGTATGTTCAAAAATTTTGTTGTATGGAAAAAATTATCTAAAATCAGCGGGACTTTTTGCAACTTCAAAGTAGTACTTTATTGTACTAAAATTGAGTAGGCTATGAAACTGCACACCAAAATTCTTTATAGTAACAATTGAAAAGTTTGCCATTTTGATGAAGCTTTGTTGAACTTTTATAATTTTCAGAAAGTTTGAAATTTGAATTTAAATTGTTTTGCTACACTTAAAAGCAAAAGTTTGCGTACACCATTTCTTTTTTAAATATTCACAATATTTTGCAAGTTAAAATTTGTTTATTTTTTATAAAATTGTGGATCATGCTTAAAACACAATCATATAAACCATGGTTTCAAGCTTTATACAAAATTAAGGAAAATTCCACGAATTTGTATCTAAGTTTTCAACTTTTTAATCAGATTATATATAGCCCATTAAATTTTAGTATAGTAATGTGCAAAAAATAAGTGGTTAAAAAATCGCGTTAATTTTTAATAATTTTTTTTGACGGTTCTGCGCATTTTCCTACATACAAAGGAGTGAAACTTTTTTTATATTGAGGAAAATGCATAGAACCATCAGATAAAACATGAATAAAAATCAACGCGATCATTTAGTCACTTAATTTTTACACATTGTTATACTAAAATTGAATTCGCCATAATCTGATCAAAAAGTTGAAAATTTTGATGAAAATTCGTGAAATTTTTCTTAATTTTGTATAAAGCTTGAGACCTTGGTTTATATGATTTTGTTTTAAGCATGATTCACAATCTTATAAAAAAATAACCAACAAATTTTAACTAGGAAAATTTTGTGAATATTTAAAAAAGAAATGGTGTACGTAGACTTTTGCTGTTAAGTGTACATATTCTTTTGCCAAAAAATTAATAATAAAAAATATCTCTGTATCACTGTGAATTTATTTAGTTTCTAAGTTTCTAATGAATTCATTTTTATTTACATGTATACTAATTTTAAAATATTTTTTAAAATAATGAAGTTACTTATTTTATAATAATGCAGCAGCTATCTCTCTTCTGCGACGTTCTCCGGGTGTACCACCAGAATTTTCACTAACTGGTTCCGATGGTACAACGGCGTCAATAAAAATCTCAGATTCGCCTGGATCACACATTTTAAATTAATTTAAAAATTTTAAAAATTGTTTACAGATATTGTGCAAAGCACAGCATATGTTTATAATCGTGGTCACTTTCGTAGGTGTGTAGCGCAATTTGCGCTCACTGAGGAGACAGCGAAAACGAGCCTTCAACACTCCAATCGTCCGTTCAACAACGTTTCTTGCCTTCGCATGTTTCTTATTATATAATGACTGTCTACTCCCTGATTCCGCGTTTCGAAAAGGTGTTAACAGGTAGGGCCGTAGTGGGTATCCGGAATAACCTAAACGAAATTACAAATGCAAATACTTGTACAATGTACATGTATGTATAATTACAGTATACAAAGGAGGATTTGTACGCACCTAAATAAATAGAGTTTTGATCTCCGTTTTCATACTGACTTTGTAAAAATGCATTTAATGAACTGTTGTTCCACACAAAAGAATCGTGGGTAGATCCTGCATATCTGGCATCAACACATCGGATGTTCATGTCATAATCGCAAGCCTGCAATACATTAATATGTTAACAAACAATAATGGTAATAATATAATTTGGTTACATCTTACAATCATGGCATTTATGCTGAAAAAGCCTTTCCTGTTTAAATATAGGTGTTTGTCATTGTGAGGAGCAATAATTCCAACATGTGTTCCATCCACACAGCCAATCACGTTGGGCATTCGGGACCTTGAATAGAATTTGCTTCGTATCTGTTGCTTTTCTTCTTCGGTCATATCTGCTTTGATCCTACGGCTGCAAAGTTCAGATTCCAAAATTGGAAAAACCTCCCTCAGAACTACCGAAACAGAGGATTGGGCTAGGCCCAATTGAAATTCATTTCCTATGGCCTCCTGGTAACTCGCATATGCAAAAAACCTTAAAGCGCAGCACATTTTCAGGATTGGTGGTATGGATGTTAAAATACGACCTTCCAGTTTGTCATTTATGTTACCAAGCACGTACATAAACGCCTCTTTGCTCAGCCGAAGGTTAGATATAAATCTGATTTAAAATTTAGTTAACACATAGATGTTTCATTTATTCATATTGAGCAATTGTTAAGTTTTATTGCAAACTCTTGGTTTATAGACTTGCATTCTTACAATAACAAAAAATATTTCGCTAAACACTTACATTGACGACCGCATATCTGTAGGATTAGAGTTATCTCTAATAACCCGACGTTGTCGTAGTAAATTAACCGTCGTCTGCTCCCTGTAATCATCCTCGAAATACAATTCCACGGAATTAAGCATTTAAAAATTTTGAATTTATTTGTTTTTCTTTAGTACCGATATTTCTTGTTTACAAAAACTTTGCTTTGAAATGTCAAAGTTGTCAAATTTGGATGAACGCATTTGTCAAATAAACTTTTTTTTGGTATGGCAACAGCGAATTCAAGCGAATGTGTTCATTCGCCACTTATAATACCAATGCCCACAATTTTCGCCTGAGCATTCGCTTCGCAACTCATAATACCACTCTTAAATGAGTCTCACATGCCACTGCCTCTGGCTACAAGCTGTATATGAAATTCACTACTCGGAGAAACTTCAAATATTCAGCCTCATTGCGTAAGTTGTAAATTAGGCTAAATTTTACGACTCGACAACAGTAGCATTGTCTATTGTCGTACTGAAATAAGTAGACGACCAAAATCGAAAACTATACAGTGCTGCTATGTAAATTTGGCTTAAGTACTAGCGTTTTCAGTATTTAACAGTTTATTATCATTTACTGTGTAGTATAACCAGTTAAACACTGAACTATGATGATCTCTATTAGTAGAAATGGCTAAGAAATTTTCTTGAGTCAAATTTCCTTCAGGCAGTGCGCAGTTCTTAAGAAATTTGCTACGCTTTTTACTACGGTTTTCTAAAGTTTTTTGTGAAAAAAATAGAACAAGGCAACCCAGGTTTGCAACAGAAATATATGCCCGTTCCATTATTTCTTGAGGAGAGAGTGAGGCTGTGAAGTATCAAATATGTCAAAATTCCTTGGACACACACACGAAATAATGGCACATTTTTCTTGACCGATTTCTTGAGAGCTGCATATCAGCCTTAAATTCGGTCACTATTATACAGTCATGTCTTTTGCAACTCTGCCATACGGGTGTTGCTCGCTTTCATACACAGTAATTTTGTATCAACAAATTTCGTGGTCTTTCTCATTATCAACCCTGATCAGATTTTACCCCCGAGGAATACTCAAAAAGGTTTATTACGGTATTAGGTAATATTTGATTGAAAAGACACAACTACATATAGAATAATATAATAGCGAATTCTATGTAAAAGAAAGAGAAAACTGCTCACACGTGAAACGATTATGCGTTAGATTTATCCAGGAACCCTAGGTAAAAGTTGCGTTCCCCAACTTTTCTGGGTTAAAACCTGTAAAACTGTCAAAAAGCAAAAGAAGCCAGAGAACGGAGTACGGGAACGCTTTCTTGTAAATTCCTGTAAATTCTTGCAACTCCTTCCGAGTTAGGGAACGCAACTAATATGATGGAAAGTTTTTGAATTTCTCACACAAAAAGTTTGTAGTACTAGGCGTATATAACGTATTAGTTAAAAGATAGGGTTCTTACTGGGTATATGTTTTGAAGTATGTATATGTATATGTATACTACATAGACTATACGCAAAATCTCCAATGACGTCATATATCTGTCAAAATTTTCAAGAGAGAGTTAGCGGTATCACAATCAGCGTCACCTTCTGTATTCGTTTCACCATGCATACATGCATATAGCAGCAGTTAATTTCATTTAGAGAAATGGCATGTCGTCCATTTCCGCTGTAGCGTATGTAGTAGTATTTAGGCGCAATATTTCACTTCGTTTGGCGGGGCGATATCTAGAGTCTTCTAATTGTATCTCTTTGATATGATGCCTACACCGAGGTTGATACCTTGAATTTGCCATAAATAGTTTGCTACATTTATAGTATAAATGGTGGTCTGGACCAGAGTGTCCAGATTTGGCGATTGCGCGCCAATTTGGCGATTTTTTTTGGATATTTGCGCGTAAAAATTTAGGAAATCGCCATTGGCGATTTTTGGCGATTTTTTCCCCTTCAAATAAGTTGTTACGAATTATAAAAATATACAAAACTTAGTTTTCCACGATAATTTTACAGAAGAGGCTAATGAACTGCGTGATAAACTTGACTTAACAATCATATTAAAAGACTGCCAAAAATTTTAGATCACCCTAATCGAAGAACTTTTGAAACGATTACCTACTCAGTTAAATACTTTTAAAAAAGCTTTGATTTTGTCACCGGAAAAGTGCGTGAATCACAAGATGGCGAGTTTCAGGGACCTGCCAATTCACTATTTAACTTTGAAGAAAAGAAAAGCAAAGAAACAAAATATTTAAATCTTTTGACTTTCCCACGGAATAACTTTTCTCATAACCATTCCATCCGACTCTACAGGATTTTGGATAATTGCTTACGGAGTGAAAACCGCAACAGGCAATAAAATGTTTGGAAATATAAATAAATTCATTTTAATTCTTGCCGCACTCACATGCTTTGTTGAGCGCGTTTTTTCCGTAATGAATTCAACGAAAACTAAGATTCGAAATAGTATGATGGTGGAAAGCCTTCATTCAATAGTTCGAATAAAGTGTTATAATAATAATAATAGATTGGCGCTTACACATATGTTAGTGTTTGGCCGAGCTTCTCCTCCGATTTGTGGCGTGCGCCTTGATATTCTGCCTTATCCTGAGTTTCGCCTGAAAAAAAAAATCACCCGAAAATTTGTCATCCGCCCATAGTAAAACCATGGAAACCGAGAGTGAAAAGTGAATCGGTTCGGGGAAAATGAAAATCATGATACGGCTGATTGTCACACAAAGCGGAGGGGCCTACAGTTTTACGCCGACTCCGAACGGCGATTGTATTTTTATGAGAAGCTGTTTTTTCATGGCAGAAATACAATCGGAGGTTTGCTGTTAAGAAAAAATCTTTTTCTATATTTTTTTGCGATGTTGCTTTAACCAGGGTTTGAACTCAGGTGCTGCGGAGTGGAAGTGTTATATGAAGAACAATAATTTCTGCTGCAAAACGTTTCGAATATCAAACAGTATGTTTAATGTGACCAACTATTTCATAGCTCAAAGAAGTACAGGTTAGGTTGAGTTAAGTTAACGCCGCAAGCCGATTACGAAACTTCGAATGCGGCTAATTTCGATCCCTGGGAGCTCAGAGTTTGTTCACAAGTGCGAGCCAAAATGCTTCCATATAAGCCTCGCGAAGGTTGGACAGTCTAAAAGAAAGTATGGAGATGATTCCACTTCAACTTCCTATTGACAGTTGATACAAAAGGATCAGTCTCTAGTCAGTTTCTAGTCTCAACACATGAATACCAATCGCACCTTTCGTACCTTTTCCTCAATGTTAGGCTTCTACGACAGCCGCCGTTGATCGCCCACCTAGTCACCTGACTCAGGTAACCTTGAACTAGATCAAAAAGGGTGTATAGAAATCGTCACTTAACCAAAAGTTCCACTTCGTCACATAGGCGATCACTCGACAGACCACTTTTTCAGTTCCTCTAGAGAAATACAAAATCTTCGATAAATCAGTAAATATTAAATCTAATTTATTCCAAATTGTTGCTTGCAACAATTCTTTATCAAGAAATACGTTTGTGGTAAAATTTTGGAAAATGGGCGTGGCACCGCCCACTTATGATCACATATATGTATATCGGTAACCGTTCTACCAATTTATACCAAACTCGGTATGGTTATTGTGCTTGCCACATAAAAGCAAAATGAAAAATTATTGAAATCGGACTAAAATTACGGCCGCTTTTCATATAACGGTGAATTTCAGAAATACTTGAAACTGCAATATTTCGAAATTTAAGGACGCTAATTTACTCAAAATTGATACACCCCGGCTTACAATCTAGCGGTAGCTTTCGGAAACGTGAAAAAACATATATTTAATACCGGGTATTTAATGTTCGGCTCCACCCGAACTTAGACTTTCTTACTTGTTTGTATTTGGAATTGTTAGTGGATTAGAGTTTTGTGTTGTATCAGAAATTATATTTGCAGGTTTGAGTAAATCTACTGAAACCGTTTTAATCATATTTCCGCATTGAATTTTGAATACTTTACTATTTTTTAGAAATAATTTTAAATGGTCCTTCATAAGGTGATTGTAAATTTGATTTGTGAATAACTTTAACAAAAATGTACTCACAAGTATCCAAATTCTTAGGAACAAAAGAGTATCCTTTATTGTGATGTACCACCTTTGATCTAACATTTGAAAAATATTTTCTTAGCTTAGAAAGAATTTCATTTGTATTGTCAACTTCATTATTATAACTGTTCGAAACAACTAATTCATCTGGTAATCTTATAGTTTGTTCATTAACTAATTCTGCAGAAGAGCATTTTAAATCTTCTTTAACAGACGTACGTAATCCTAATAATATCCAAGGAAGAATTTCAGACCAGTGAGTAGAATCCTCCGAAGCAGTAAGAGCAGTCTTTAATTTCCTATGAAATCTTTCAATCATTCCACTTGATTGAGGATAATATGGAGACGTATGAATTTTAAGTGATCCTAACAATTTAGTTAATTCTGTAAACAATTTCGATGTAAACTGTGATCATTGATCTACTGTTATATAAAGAGGAATGCCAAAACGAGGAACGTAATTTTGAACAAATGTTGTTGCTATAGAATTTGCTGAAATATCCCTTAGTGGATATGCTTCTGGCCAACGTGTATGTCTATCAATGATAGTTGAAATGTAACGATTTTCTTTTGACACAGGTAATGGACCAACAAGATC